CCCTCGCCTGGGGTCCTCGCTGCCCGGGCCGTGCTCCCCCACCTGCCGAGTTACGAATGGTTCCGCTCCCTTCCGCGGCTCCCCCCAAAGCCCCCCTCGGCTGTGCAAGGGGGTCCGACCGTAGAAACCCCGGGGCTGCTGCGGGGAGAGGAGGGAGGTTTGAACGAGCCCGCTCTCGGGATCCGGCCGCCCCCTCGGGGGAAAATGGCTGTCCGCAAAGACGCGGGACTCGGTCAGGGCGGGGAGCCCGCCAGGGAGGATCCTGGGCGGTCGCGGTGCACGGGGTGTGGGGTCCGAGGTCCGGGTCGCGCCAGGCATTTGGTGGCCGCAGGGCCCAGCGGGGCTCGCCAGCCAGTGTGCTGTCTCCCCGACGCGATTTCTTTTGAATATTTGCTTTTTTCTTTTTTTATGTTCGGAAATCCCAAAAGTTGGACAGGCTGTTTTAAAACACGACAGAGTAATATTGCTTTCTGGGACATGAGTGTAACTGGTTTTCCCCTTAACTTTGCTAAACTTTTTTTTTTTTTTTTTTTTTTAATGATTAAGAATCGAGTATTGTGGAGACGCTCTGATGCTGGGTGCCTTTTTCGTGGCAGAGGAAGGCTTTTGAGAATGCTCTGCCAGGGATAGTGTAAGGTGACACTATCGAGGTGATCAGCTAGACCAAGCTGCCTTCAAATTTAAGAGGGAAACGCTGTAGAAGATTTCTTCGGGCTCTCCGATTTGTTAGGCTGTGTTCAGCGTTCTAAGGGTTTATGGAAGTGGCTTCTGCATGTCGGCTTCTCTTTACAAGAGAAAGTTAATATTTACTCCCGTTAAACTGTGTGGGATAAGCGTTGTTCCCCCACCCCCACCACCCAGGGGTGCAAAATCCTATTAAAAATCAAATGCCAGCGGACTGAGAGGCGACAGAGTTTTGTAAACAGACCGAAGCCGCTTTTTTAAATTGTAAATACCTTTGATGTTGGAAGCCACCTTTTTTTGAGAAGGCATTGGTGAGGGCGCGCGCCCTGTCCGGTGTTTGAATTACTTTGGGGTTTGTACTTGCGAAGTTACAGGGGTGTTGAAGAAGTGGACTCAGTGCTTTCTGTATTAGACACAAGTAAGTTGGGAATTTCTTTTCTGACCTAGCAAATCGTGCAGGGTCTGAGAAGTATTTTACACTCGAATAGTTGGAGAAACTTTTAATTCTTGAGAAATACATTGTGTTTTTCGTTTTGTCTTATAGGTGCTAACGGGTCAAGTTGTTTTTTGAGACCACTGTTTGCGTCTGCTTGGCACTACATGTGCTGTTCCATTTAATTTTCATTGTACCTGATGAATATTATATCCACTGTGAAGTTGAAAAAGCTAAAAGTCGGGCGTTTTGTTGTTACTGCTGTTGTTGTTACATTTTGTCAGTTGTTGAGAGAGCTGGGGGAATCTGATTATGTAGCTAGCCTTGAAGATCCTCCTGCCTCAGACTCAGCAGTCCTGGGATTACTGACACCAAGCCAAGGCTAAACATTAGACATGAAATGATTTCTTATCCATTACAAATAACTAAGGAAGGAAGGAGTTAAATTTCAAGCTAGAACTGACTAACCAAAGGAGAATTGAATAGTAATGTGCAGATTAGACACATCCTTTTTTTCCTTTAAAAACAAAAAACAAACAAAAAAACAAAAGCCTTCCATGCCACTAGCTGATGGCTCCGTTTTTAGTTAGGTATTCCCTTTCGAGTTATGTATTGATGTCTTCCAGAGTTAGCAAAATACCCAGCTATCATCTGTAGGTGTTTTTATAATAGGAAAAGTGAACTACATAACGGTTAGAAAGTATAACTTGCTAACTAATGCAAATCAGGATTATGTCTGACTCCTAGTGTGGTAGTTTCTATTCTGGAAAGGTAATGTAGGTATGCCCAAGTTTTTTAAAAAACCACATTCATAGCCGGGCAGTGGTGGCACAAGCCTTTAATCCCAGCACTCGGGAGGCAGAGGCAGGCGGATCTCTGAGTTCGAGGCCAGCCTGGTCTACAAAGCGAGTTCCAGGAAAGGCGCAAAGCTACACAGAGAAACCCTGTCTCGGGGGGAAAAAAAAAATTCATGAATACACGCAAAATAGTACAAAAGTGCAGCCCACTCTCCAGAGGTAACTTGTCACCAGTTCCATAGGTGCTCCACAGATACGTTGTGCTTGTGCAGATGCTCGCTCCTAAGTATATACACTGGACCCTACATGTTCATCGGCTCCCTATAGGTGGATTAAAAGTGCTGTACATCTTTTGTTGCCTTTCTATCTACTGTGGTGATTTTGTTTGTTTGTTAAACCAGTGGAAGGTCTGTGAGAACCCTTTATCGAGTCGACCCATACAGTAGGTTTTTTTCAAACATTCGGATCATGATTAGATCATTTTTGATTAGTAAAATATTGCTTACTTAAGCTAAACACCTTGTTTTCCTAGACAAAAAGCTGTTGTCCAGTTAACATCCTAAAACAGTTAACTTTGCACGTATCGACAAACCAGAGCCTCCTTTGACTGGGTGGAAATGGTCTGGAACCAAGCCTGCAAGAGCTCTGAGTTATGCAGGTGTTCATGTCAATTTGAGAGGGCCCTTAGTATCTGTAGGAAGTTGGCTCCAGGACACACTGTGCCTCAGAGATTACAGCTTTCTCCCGTACCAAGGGGGAGAAATTCTGGGGATGCTTAAGTTCTCTGATACACCATAATGTTTAGGGAATAATGAAAAGGATAAAAGGTGTACATGTTCAGTACAGGCAAATTTTTAAAAAATATTTCCCATTGCAGTTGGCTGAATCTAAGAATATGGAACTTTTAGATGAGAAGGGGCAACTGAGGCAACTCTATGTACATAGACCACATCCATTAAGTCGTAGAGACCCCCTCCACCAGTATTCTGAGTTTGGCCTGGACCTCTTCCTATTAGTACCAAGCTGACATTGCGTAAGGCTGCTTTGCATTCTGTTGTATAGATGTGTTTGTTTTCAAGTCACTTATTAATGGTCAGGTTGATTCTTTCTGGTGTTTTGATAAATTAGATAATAATGAGTAAGTTATGCTGACGACAACAAAAATTACACTTCCATCAAGCACTTAGAAGATATACTTACCCTGTGTACTCTATTCCTCTGTAAGATGGGCTGGTGTTTACAGTCATTAGGAAATTTGTCAAAACATTTGGTGCTTCGTAAGACCTTCCCAAATTGCTCTTCAAAGAGGTTGTATTAGTTTATTCATCACTTTCCTAATAGGTGAGTGAAATACTGTTGATGATGGACATGTAGCAGAAATGTGAGCTTCAATTTGACTTTTCTTCTTTGGGATAAATAGAACTGCTTTATTTTTGCATTAGCGAGTATGTTCTAAATAAGTGTCATAAGTTGCTGCTTTAGAAAAAGTTGATTCAAGTCATTGCTTTGACAGGCTCTGCTCTCTGGCTTCAATGTAAGAGGCCTTTTATAAAGGATCAACACAACTTAGAATCTCAAATCTCTACAGGGTAAACAACCATTTTTTAAAGTTAAAAGGTTTGGCCGGGCGGTGGTGGCGCACGCCTTTAATCCCAGCACTCGGGAGGCAGAGGCAGGAGGATCTCTGTGAGTTCGAGGCCAGCCTGGTCTCCAAAGCGAGTTCCAGGGAAGGCGCAAAGCTACACAGAGAAACCCTGCCTCGAAAAACCAAAAAAAAAAAAAAAAAAAAAAAAAAAGTTAAAAGGTTTGTATTACTAAGGGTAAAGAGTAATGATCCTTTGGATTTTTCTTTATTCAGATAGTGGCCATCATGGAGTGGCCACTGTCGTTCTGGCTTCCCTTGGTTGAATGCTCTCCTGTTACTAATTGTTTCCCAGATTAATTTTAGTGTCCTCTGCTTTACTTACCATCTCCCACCCATGCCAGAATCTATTTAGGAGTCTGCCATCGCATAGCTGGAATGCTTTAGGCACAGCCCTGACAGCAGCTGAAGGGCTGCCGTAAACTCCTGACACCTGCTGAAACTTGCTGGTGGTTTTACTTCCTAGACTCTCAAGAATTTTTTAGATTTCTTAATTAAGAGATCAGTTGGTATAGCCTATTTTCTTATTAAGTATTTATTTAGTAACGCATGTGGCCTACATTGTTGTAGCAAGTTTTTCTCTTATTTGGAACACAATGTTTTGGGGTTTTCATGTAGAACAGTTACTGAATTTCTAAGAAAACATGGCTATATTGAGTTTCTATAAATTCTCTAGGGTTGCTAGGTTGGTTTTTCTTGGCAACGTTTCTCTGTGTGTCAGCCTTGGCTGTTTTGAAACTGACTCTGTAGACCAGGCTGGCCTCAAACTCACAAGAGATCCTCCTGCCTCTACCTCCCAGGTTCTGGGATCAAAGGCATGCGCCACCTAGGGATAGTTAAGGTTTTGCTGTAACAAACTTTCTAATGTTTGAAAACTCAGATTTGCAAATGAAAGGCTCCCTTTAATTATGGTAAGCATACTGTTTACATAAAATACTAAGTGGCAAACGTAACTCTTGAAGTATTATTTAATACAGCGCATAGCATTTGATCTGAATATTTTCTGTTATAGTATTCTGTAGTTCTCAACCTGATGTTTGGTTGAAAGATTAAGTGTTAAGTGTTGAAAAGGGGAGCTGGGGCAAACCTGGCTGTTTCTGTCTTGCTACCACACTGCCATCCCACAAGTAATACATAATTTTCCCTTTTCTCTTTCGCCCCTCCAAATCCTCCCATGTGCCCCACCTTGTTCTCTTTTAAATTCACAGACTCTTTGTTTGTGGAGGTGCGTGCGTGCGTGCGTGCGTGCGTGCGTGCGTGCGTGCGTGCGTGCGTGCGTGTTCCTGTGTGTGTATGTTCCTAAATATAAAAATAAAACCTGCCCACTCTGTATAATGTTACTTGTATGTGTGCGTTCAGGGCTGGCCATTTACTCTACTCTTCCTTGGAGAAGACTTTTCTCCTGATCTCAGCCTTCCTTAGCTGCCTCTAGTTCTTTTTGTGTAGGATTCATAAGCTTTCCTCTTTCCATATTAGCTTGTCTGTTGGTGGTGGTCTTATTCAGGTCATGTTTTGGCAGCCATCTTGGTGAGTCTTCATGGGTGTGGCCTCGGACATTTTCTAGTAAACACAGTCTCACAGCAAACTTCGATTCCTCTGGCTTTTAAAATCTCTCCTTTCCTCAATGATCTCGGAGCCTTAGGTGTAAGAGTTGTGTTGTAGATGTATCACTTGGGACTGGACTCCACTATTTGGTATTTTGATGGGTTGTGGCTTTCTGTTCATGGTTTTTGTTGCAAAGAGAGTTTCCTTGACGAGGGGTGAGAACTGCGTTTCTCTGTGGGTCCGAGGGCAGTTATTCAGACTGTCGTGGAGTTGTGCTGGCTTAGTAAAAGGATGGTTGCAGATTCTCCTCCAAGATCCATGACTTCACCAGCCCCTGGGACTGACTAGGTCTCCAGGACCAGGTATGATTCCCTCTTAAGTCCAAGCAGAGAGCTGTTGGTTACTGCCGAGATGTGTGTGCCACTCCTGCGCCCTTGGAGATATTGTTCCATGCCGGTCGTCATTGTGGTTCATGGGTATCATAGCTAGGGAGGACTGTTAGTTGCTCTTCTTTGGAGGCTTTCAGGTGAGGTCTAGCTTGGAGGCTTTGGGCCAGCCTTCAGAGTGTGTGGTGTCCTTAGCAATGAGGAATCACCTGGGGCAACCAAGGGCAGTAGCCATAATCTGTAATGTTTGAGGGGAGTCTCTTGGACAGCCCTGACCAACAGTTCAGAACAGGGGGGCTTCTCCTGCCTGTGGTGGAGTTTTGGTTAGGTGGTCTTCCGCTCTTGGAGAAAGCATTGTCAGCCCAGAAGTGAAATTTTCATTTAAATTATACATGTATATTTTTATAACAACTTATGTATGCATGTAATTTTAGGTAGATAATACTATGATTCCTTATGACTTTCAGACATCCTTAGTGTTATTTTACCCTCCTGTATTTATCTCCCTCCCTCCTCCCTAGTTAAACCCCCTCCCCCATTTTTTCCATTTCCCCCTTCAGATCACTTACACTCCGCTATTCTCCTCTCTCACGCCCCCCACTTAACTTTCCTGGTTTCTGCAGTTACTCCAGGTTAATATCTGAAGATTTGGAGCTAGGAGCCTCATGAGAGAGAACAGTTGTCTTTCTGGTCTGGGTTACCTCACTCATTATGATCTTTGCTAGTTCTACCCATTTACCTGAAAATTTCATTTTTCTTTACCACAAATATTTTTGGCATACATGGAAATCTAGCTATGATACCTTTAAAACAGTTTCTTTTCATCAATAGAAAGAATGGGCATGTTGTCAGTTAAGATGTAAGCAAATTTTCATTTTAAAATTTACCATTCCCTTTTATGTGGAAATATGAAATTATAATTACTCTTCTTGTTTTTTTTTTAAGCTACTATAAAATGTTTACATATTCTCCAGCTTTTGATGTTGCCCTTGTTTTTACTTAAGCCCTTGTGGTAAGGAGGGTACATTGGTTAGCTCATGAGGCTTTAATTTGTATTTTCCTAGTGGCTTAGAATTACTAAAGATCTTCTTCTGTTCCTGTTTCTAATTGGGATGTCCTTTGCTATGAAATTTCCTTTTTGTTCACTTTCTAATTGTATTTTCTTTTCTTACTTTTAGTCATGATGGTTTCTTTACATGTTCTAGATTCAAGTTCTAGCCAGATAATGGGGTTTATTACTTTTCTCTGTTTGAGTTCCCAGCAGTCTTAAATTAAGAAAGATTTTAATTTAATGAAGGCCAGTTTACAGTGTACATTATTGATAGTGTAGTATTGTGTCTAAAAGTACTTGTCCCGTACCATTGGTACCATTTTCGAAAAGTGCTCTAGTACACATTTAAGGCTGTGATCTAATTTTTTAAGAGATTTTCATTCAGCTTAAATTTGTTTCTTAGACAGTAATTTGGGGTTAAGATGACCAGATGGAGTGATTTCAAACTAAACTCCCAGACTTCTGCTGTCGGTAGGTTTTGCTGAACGTGCTCCTTAGTGTTCTTTGACTCTAGAGCAGGCAGCTTGGTGAGTGCACAGTGGCTCATCCCAGTGTTGAGGTGGATAGAACCTAATGTTCTGAACAGTGAGTGTGTGGCTGGTGAGGGTCACATTCAGCTGTGCTGCTTTTGCAGTTGGTTTCTGTTCTGTTTAGGTCTGTAGACTCAGTCACTCCAGCCCTGCTTGTTGCAGAATTTATCATTCCCTTGTTGACTTGCTTCGGCGTCTTTGTGAAAAATCAATTGGAGGTCCACACATGTCTGTTTCTGGGTTCTCTGTTTGGTGTCTTTCTGCCAGTACCATGATGTTGACTTACAGCTGTGGACTTACTCTTCCTGTTTTCCTGTCCAGTTTGGAAGTTGTGTTAGTGTTTCTAGCTGCTTTGTCACTCTATATTAATTTTAGAATAATCTTGTCTGTGGTTTTAAAACATGCACTGTTATGATCGATCGTTGCATGAAACTATATGTACTCTTACTGTACTGCCTAGCAACTACACTTGAGAACGTTGGTTGTAGAGAAAAGTTTGGTTGACAGTAAGTGTGCATACAATATGTGCATCAGCTTTATCAGCAGTAGCTCCAACATAATAAATAGCCCAGTGTTCTTCTGGGTGAGTGGCTAAGTAGATTGTAGTTTATTTCCTCTCACAGAATGTTCCTCAACAATAAAGGAAAATACACTATTGATAAATGGTAAGGTGAATGGATCTCAGCGACATTGTGCTAATAAATCTGAGAGAAAGCCCGTTCTGTGTGAATTAAGTAATTGTGTTGTTTGTATAAAAATAACCGCAATAAGATATGTAGAGTGTTACTTGACAGGGTTTTTAGGAGGCAGGGTAGGCGGAATAGTTGTGTGTCGTGTTTGTAGTAAGAAGTACACAGCTATGCTTGCAGCACCGTGGCACAGAGATATCCCTTAGGCCAGTGTCACTGCCTGGGTTCGGAAGACACCACTATTAACAGCTATTTGTGAATCTGTACCATTTCGAAATTAAGAAGTCAAAACTACGCTGGGCGGTGGTGGAGCACATGTTTAATCCCAGCACTCGGGAGGCAGAGGCAGGCAGATCTTTGTGAGTTCGAGGCCAGCCTGGGCTACCAAGTGAGTTCCAGGAAAAGGCACAAAGCTACACAGAGAAACCCTGTCTCGAAAAAAAAAAAAAAAATCAAAACTAGGGACTGGGAATATGGCTTAGTAGCTAAGGGTGCTTGTTTCTCTTGGAGAGGACCCAAGTTCAGTTCCCAGCACCCACATGGTAGCTCACATCCCTAACCCCAGTTCCAGGGAATCTGATACCATCTTCCACTTCTGACTTCCACAGGCACCAGACATACGAATGTTGTGGATTCATTCAGGCAAAACACCCATATACAACAAAATAAATTTAAAAAAAGTTGACCTTGAACAGAAGGGTTTTTGTTTGTTTTTTTAAGATGTATTTATATATACAGTGTTCTGTCTGCAGGCCAGAAGAGGGCACCAGATCTCATTACAGATGGTTGTGAGCCACCATGTGGTTGCTGGAAATTGAACTCAGGACCTTTGGAAGAACAGCCAGTGCTCTTAACCTCTGAGCCATCTCTCCAGCCCCCAGAAGGGCTTTTGTTTTTTTAAGCCAAAACTAGTCATATTTTATTAAAGATATACTTTTATTTCTTAAAAGTAGGCCTCTGGTCAGGCAGTGGTGTCTCTCTCTCTCTCTCTCTCTCTCTCCCACACACACACACACACACACACACACACACACACACACCACTCCCCACCAAAAAAAAAAGCCTCTGGCATTGCAGAAATTCATTTGACCAAGGAGGGAGTTTAACATCTTCTGTGAAGGGGGAAGTTAAATAACATAAAAGCAAAAGTTTAGATAGTCAAACAAAAAATGTAAAAATTAGATATGATGGCTGGCACTTCCTCAGTTTTGCTTAGAAGGACTGAAGGGCTCTGCGCAGCGGGTACTTGTGGCTGCCTGTGCCGGCGGCTTTCTTAGACTTGGTCGTTTGTGTTTGGTTGGTTGGTTGTTTTCCTTTGCGATACTGGGGATTGAGCCCAAGGCCTCATATATGCTAGGCTTAGACGTTTTTCTTTCTTTACGTCTAGATACTAGCCAATAAGCAGAACTGTGTCTATTATCAGCTATTAGATTAGAAGTAGGATTAATACTCGGTTGGATTTAGAATAAGATTTTTGATGACAGTCTTTACAATAGCAAGTCATAAAAGTGATTTGACCCTTTTCCCTGAACATCTTCATACTTGGAGATGCGTCTTGCCCTCAAATTAAAATATAGGATTCTTTTATAAAACATTTACTGTACTTTGCGGATTTGTGTGCCCATACTCCATCCAGTGTAGGAAACGAGAGTTTTCATTTCTTACGTCTTAATAAATATTTCATCCTCACATGAAACTTTATAACTTTTTTCTCTCCTCAGGTTTCTTGCTGTTTCATAGCAAACAAGAAACATGTTCTACGCACACTTTGTCCTCAGTAAAAGAGGGCCTCTGGCCAAAATATGGCTGGCGGCCCATTGGGACAAGAAGCTAACCAAAGCCCATGTGTTTGAGTGCAACTTAGAGAGCAGTGTGGAAAGCATCATCTCGCCGAAGGTAGGTGTGATGCTAGTGACTTCATCCACTTTGTTGATTCGTGTGTGAAATGGAGCTTGTGGAACAACTGCGAATGTATATTCGAAGCCAGGGAAGCCTGCAGGTTCATTCCTTGTTAAATCTCTGATCCTATCCTAAAATTGTCCTTAATCTGCCGCCGGTAGCGTCTCTTCTGGAACTCTGGGTGAAGGCTATTGAGGGGCTGGGCCCCAATAGCTTTCTTTAAGGAAGATAGTTGATGGACTAATTAATAAACTCTCAATATTATGCAGTAGGCTTCCAGTTGTACTAGTTTACACAGCTGGTCCAGTCATATGGGAATGTGGTAGGTTTTCTTTCTTTCTTTTTTTTTTTTAATGTACTCATTGTGATAAGTAAAACTGGATTGTGTGCTTTTCTTTAGCATCCATAAATATTGAGAGTACTTCATCTTAAAGGATGGTTTTGTTTTGTTTTTTGGTTTTTTGAGACGGGGTTTCTCTGTAGCTTTGGAGCCTGTCCTAGACTAGCTTTGTAGACCAGGCTGGCCTCGAACTCACAGAGATTCACCTGCCTCTACCTCCCGAGTGCTGGGATTACAGGCGTGCGCCACCACCGCCGAGCCCAGGGATGCTTTTTATAGTACATATAGATAGAGTGCTTTGTACACATGGAAATGCTGAGACTGATAGGTGAGTGTGTTACCAAACATGGAGGCAGTTTGGTAGTAAAGTAAAAGATGACTGTGGGACAGCACCGATTACTCACTCAGAAAGTTAAGTCACTGTAGGTAGGCTTTGTATTTGCCTATATATATAGAGTACGGTGTGGAGCTATTTTGACATGGTCAGCTGACCTGGAATATGGTTTGCCTTATTGAGCATTTCGTATGAGGAAATGGTTTACTTCCTGAGGTTGTGTCAGACTTGGGGCTCTGTCCGGAACTGCAGGCTTCCATGAATTCCTTACTCTCCTTTAAGAGAGCCAGACCAGGGACCTTTGCGTGAACATACAGTCTCTGCTCTTCATACTTAATCATTTTTATATCCTGTTGCTTGAAAGCATGTCTTGCTTCGTTTTACCCACTCTAACCAAACTAGTTCAAAAAGAAAGCCCTTTGTCCAAGGAAGTTACACACTTTGGGAGTTGCTCTTTCCAGACAAGGAAGAGATCATGTGACGTCTTTCTTAGGTAGCGGTACCATCTGTAATTGAAAATCTCTTAGACCACATACACATAGATTGTTTTTCCATTAGTTAGGGGTGGGATAGTAATTGGAAATTACTTTTTGTGTCCTAGATTTCATAAGATTTGTTACAATTTGACATGTGTAAAAATTTACACTGGCAAATTTGTTGTTTTTGTTTTAAAACACATAAGATAACCATAAATACAGAGACTAGATTGCAAATAGAGTCCTAGAAAAATGCAATGTGCACATCTAACTTACATACTTTAAGTCACAATGCATATAATTTAATTTTAGGCATATGTTTTAACAACATTTTTTTAAGCCTGCTTTTGCTTTTATTGGAGGCTCAGGTGGCACATGACAGTTCATAAAATGGCTTCAGAGGTGTTGGGAGGAGGTAGAGGGGAAACAAAAAATAAATG